TGTTTTGTGCCATACAACTCATTTTATAGGTCACTAAAGACCCGATAAGTTCTTCGAGAGGGTAAGTACTCAAATCTTGGGCCTCTTGAATGGTCGTTACTTTAGGATCCCAAGTTTTAGAAAGAGATCGTAAAACTTTATTAACAAGTTCAAGATTCGAAAAACATTTGCCAAGAGCTTTTACGCCATTGACGACATCTGTAAAACAGGTGTATATGTCAACAATAATTTCGCATGACTTCATTCGAAATAGTTTAAAATCATGCATCAAAAGATTTATCTTAGAATCCTTTACTCTAATAGTGCCTTCGTGTGTGATTTCAAGTGTATGCCAAATATCGAAAGTTGTTTCGTAAGTAGAAACCCGATTGAATTAATTTTTATCTAAGGCGTAAAATAAAGCATTCATAGCTCTAGCATTTAAAGAAAAAGTCTTATTCTCCAAATCATTCCAATCATTTATTAGAAGAGAAGAGCTTTGAAAACTGTTTTCGATAATATTCCATAAATTCAAATCCAAGGAAAGCAAGAAAACTCTCATTCGAGTTTTTCAATAAGTGTAGTTCATCCCATTGAACATATGAGGACGAACGATGGAAAAACCCTCTTGAAATCCGAAAAGAATCATTTCTCTTGGGTGTTAAACCAAATAAGAAATAACATGGCACTGATACCAACTGTTAGGAACGAGTCAGCACTAAGAGGGGGGTGAATTAGTGCAGCGGATAAAACACGTCGATTTAAAAAACTTCATATAATAAAAATCAGTTTTGATTCAAATCATTTGTTTCACTTAGAATAAGTAGAGAAGAAAAGGTTGGGCAGTTTGCAATGTGGTAAAGTTGAATGTAGTAAAGAGAATTTGTAATAAGGAAAAAACACACCATAATTTATATTGGTTCGATCGTCGTGACCTACATCCACTCACGATTCCTCTTTCATCGAGGCTACCAGTATCCACTAACAGTCTTACTTTAATAGGCAAAGACCAACTACCTTCTTACACCCCTCTTCTCTTTTTCACAGGTTTAGGAGACAACATTTTACAAGCACTCACTCCTCCCTATACAGAATTCTAAACTTAGAACTTTAGAGGAGAGAATCTCTCAAGTAATTACTACAGCGTTTTCCCACTTTTAAATTCTCTATGCTTGTGTATGTTAACCAGGGATGAAAGAGGTATTTATAGGCCTTAAGTTGATTCAAACTTGGAGCCTAAAAAGGTTTCATCCCGGGTTTCTTGGGTCCTGGCGGTACCACTGCCTGTGCTAGGCGGTACCACCACCTACAATAATGACACTGGGTGGTACCACCGCCCAATCTAGCGATACCACCACTTGGGAGACTATGTCTGGGCGGTACCACCGCTTGACACTATCTCGGAGACTGTGCCATCGACGGTGTCACCTGTTTGGTCACTATTTAGACCTTTCACTTGGCCTAACACAGTCCATGCATTGGGCCAACTAGCCCCTAATTGGGTTGGCCCAATTACAATCTCAATTATGTGCTAACTACGAATTCTAAGTCATACACTAAGCAAATCCGGTCCGATTAGTCTTGGTTTCTTTCGGCGAGCTTCTGGCGAACTTCCAACGATCTCTCGGCAATGTTCCAACGGACTCCCGACAAGCTCCTAGACTTTATGACATTCTTCTTAGTGAGTTCCGATGGGTTTCTTTAGCAAGCTCCTGGACTTCTTGGTCAATTCCGATAAAACTTCCGATGAAATCTCGTTCTTGACTCCGGGACTTTATTTTGCTTTATACCTTGATCACCATCATAGTTAATCTTACATAAATAAAACCTACTTCGATCTAGACAATTATTACAAAGCTTGAATCATATTGTCTGGCATATCATTAGTTTATCGACGCTTGAATCCGGTCCTGTGAAAAGAAGTCCATATTATAGTAGGATTCCTTAAGAGATGTCCTTGATGGAAGGAACTCTCCTAATAACTTATCCTAGATTCTATGCTCTCGCCTATAAATAGACAAAATCTCTAGGGACTGAAAGACGTGTTACACATCTTATAGAGGATACAGTTGAGATATTACAGTTTCTCTCTCAACCTCCCTGAACCATCAATCTATGTGGTCATGTGAAAAGATAAGAAGAGAGGAGAAGGAGAGTCTAGTTCTCCTTATAGATTGATAGCAATTTTGGATATAAATGTTGAATCTCATATTTTGATGATGAAACCAATCAATATGTGTTTATGTTTTAATCTATGTTTTGAGTGACGCAGGATGCTTCGATCAGGATGAGACAATTAAAGCAGGAAAGTCATGTTGGGCTGGAAGAACATGTCAGAAGATTGGACGTCGGGCCGATGGATCGGTCGACGTATCGACAGAAAGCTTTGAGCCGTGGATTCGGGCATCGGGCCAAGAAGAGCGGACATTGCGCCAAGGATATCGAAGTTGCAGAGTCAACTAGCCGATTGGGCAATAGGCCGCAGGAGAGGACGATGTGCCGAAGAATCGGACGAAGCGTTGAGGGATCAATGACATGCCAGATAACTTGATTAGATACTTAGGATTAATTGTCTAGATCGAAGTGTGTTTTATATATGCAGAATTAACTATGATAGCTTGAAGACATAAAGCAAGTTTACCGGAGTCAAGTTCGATAGGTGTTCGAGAGTCCGCCGAAAGTCCGAAGAATCGTCGGAAGTACTGCCAGAACCAACCGAGAAAGAATCGGGGACTTACCGAAGTTTTCGGAAGTCCACCGGAAAGATCGTCGGAGGTTCGTGGAGATCACCAAGAAGGTTCGGATACTTGCCAAAGACTCGTTGAACTCGCCACAAGACCGGGAGCCTGCTAGGAGTCCGCTGGAAGAAATCCGATGGTGTATCGGAAGTCCGTTGGAAGTTCGTCGGAAAGCTCGTCGAAAGGAAACTCAACATTGCCGGTTAAAATTTGCTTAGGGCATGTCTTAATTTCGTAGTTTGCATATAATTTGGGTTAGAATTAAGGGTTAATCCTATAACCTGGTTAGGGGTCAATTGGGCTTGAGTTTGGACTGGTTTGGGCCAAGTTTAGAGCCCAACCAGTGAGTTGGAACAATCCAAGTGATGGCACCGTCGGACTGGGCGATGGCTCCGCTCAGAACCCGAGAGGTCCGGCAGTGCCACCGCTAGTACACTGCCGGACTAGGTGGTGGCACTGCCCAGAACCCGAGAGGTCCGACGGTGGCACCGCAAGTACACTGCTGGACTAGACTGTGGCACCGCTAGTACACTGCTGGACTGGACGGTGGCACCGCCCAGAACCCGAGAGGTCTGGCGGTGGCACCGCCAATACACTATTAGTGTTAGATATTGACAGGCGATGGCACTGCCAGCACCGGAAAACCCAAAAGCAATTCAAATTTGGAGCTCAAATTTGAATCCTCTTGGGGCCTATAAATATCTGTCAATTCTCAACCGAGACAACATCTTTTTGACAAGTTAGAAAGTGAGAAAAAGCTCTAAAAAAAGTCTTATTTTCAATAGCTTAAGTGTTCACGTACCTCTTTCTTTTTTAAAAATATGTAAGAGTGTGAACCACTTGTAAGAAGGTTGTAAGAGGGGTATTTGGTCCTTCCCCTTCAAAGTGATTTGCTAGTGAAAGTTGGGAGCCTCATCGAAGAAGGCTTCGAAAGTGGATGTAGGTCACTTGATCGAACCACTATATATCATGGTGTTCCTTGAATGTGTGTGTTTAATATTCTAGACCATTTCTCTACTTAGCTGCAAATCATTCGGTTTTTATCTCCCTACTCTTGACTACCCTTACTCGAGCTATTTTAGCTAAGTCATCATTCGTCGCATCAAAATCTCTACACATTTACGAAATCGATTTCAAACTTACGAGTTTTAATTCGCTGCACTAATTCACCCCACCCCCCCCCCCCTCCTTAGTGTTGCTCCGATCGTAACACTAAAGACAGTACTTTTGTAGATCACATAGAGATCCTTTTCAGATGACATCAAAAGGTACGTATCATAAAACCAGATCTAATATTATTTGATTTCAATCTTTGCATAAAAGATTATTTTTGTATTTCATATAGCATATTACAGATTTTATGCTTACATGTATATGCTATGATATGTGATAGGGAGTGCATGTATATATTACGATGATGTGTGGTATGAGAGTGTATGCATATATTATGATATGAGGTATAGACATTCATGAATTTGCTATGTATCCTATATTTGCATATCAACACTTTGGATTATTTCGATATAGAATTTTACCTTGTTATTTTATATATACTATGTTGTAGGGTGTGCTTACAACATAGGATGAGAGGTTTCCTACTAAATGCCTTCTATCGATGATTTTAAAATATTATAATATAATATGATGCATACTTACTTAAATAAACTATATATCCTATTTTACAAGTAAAGATACTATTACCTTGGTCAAGAAATGAGCACGTACAAGCCCATGCTATTAGGACGATGAACTTTGAGTATTTACATATGCATAACCTTTGAACATATTGTGCGCGTATATTTTTCTTTTGGTTAGATGTTATAATTATATACATGTTTCAAAATTACTATATATAAAGAAACTCTCTCATTTTATTTAGTAAATTAGTATATTTTATTTTTAAAATTATCTATTTTTTATTATACTTATAAAAACAAATTTATTTTAGTCAGATGAAATTAAAAATAGGGTGTTATAGTATATCATATTCCTATTTATAAGATGGAAGACAATCGAATCAATTTCATAAATTATGAGATTTATAATAAAAAAAATGGATAAATCAAGGCATATGAGATAAGATGACCCCTACTATTAATCAACTGGCACACACCCTTCCTCGTGTGCAAATCACCTTTCAAACACCGGGGAAACTTGCTGTGCTGAGTTGGTCAATCGAAAATTCATTAGTCTTCGTGTAATCTGGTCTACTTGCGGTTCCAATCCATCCGAGTTGTGGCTGGCTGAGTCGCACCGGACACGATCGACTCGCCCCCGCCTCGTTCTCTTGCGCACGCATACACAAAACAATACTATTAATGAGGAGGGAGGGAGGAGAAGCCCTCCGTTTCGGACATCCGCCCGATATCTCGAACGATACCCAAAAGCCAACCCCCCTCTCGCTCACCGTCGTATCGATCGATATCGTTCTCTCTTTGTCTCGATCTCCGCTTCTTCGATCCCTTCGTGCTCGCGCGATAGGGAATTCGAGCGATAGGGATCTTGGGAATGGAAAGTAAAGCCAGATCTGGATCCCCGCCCCCGCATCTGATCTGCTCCTGATCCGGGAACTTCTAAGTTCCCGCTCCCAAATCATGGCGGGCGCCGTCTCGGCGCTGTTCCTCCTCGACATCAAGGGCCGCGTCCTCATCTGGAGGGACTACCGCGGCGACGTCTCCGCTGTCCAGGCCGAACGCTTCTTCACCAAGCTCATCGAGAAGGAGGTGAATCCCTTCCTCGAAACCCTATTTTCTTCCTCCCTCTTGCATGCCTTAGATCCACCCCTGCTGGGGGAAATTGTTGCATTTGGTTTGTCCCGTTTGTTTTTCGAGGTAAGATAGAATCTTGATTTCTGGTTCTGTGGTGACAGGCCGATCCCGAGTCTCACTCGCCTGTGGTGTTCGATGATGGAATCAGTTATATGTTCATCCAACACAACAATGTCTTCCTTATGACGGCTGCGAGGCAGAACTGCAATTCTGCTAGCATCCTTCTCTTCCTGCATCGTGTTGTTGATGTGAGTATTCTTTATAAATGTAGATATCTTATATTAACTAAGTGGATGCTTTATTTTATTATCTTTAATTATATTTATTTCAGGTCTTTAAACATTATTTTGAAGAGCTCGAGGAGGAATCATTAAGAGATAATTTTGTTGTTGTGGTAATTTGAAAAATCTATACTTTGTTTTCTGCTGCGTGGTGCCCGTGCTGTATTGTGTAGGCATTACAATGCTGACCAAATCCAGGAGTTTCTTTTCTTGCTCTATGATTTCATATTATGCTGTCTTGAAATTGTATCTCCTTTGTGATGCGGACAGTATGAGTTACTCGACGAAATGATGGACTTTGGGTACCCTCAATACACAGAAGCTAAGATTCTTAGTGAGTTTATTAAGACAGATGCGTACAGGATGGAAGTCACACAGAGGCCTCCAATGGCTGTCACAAATGCAGTGTCATGGCGTAGTGAAGGGATACGGTACAAGAAAAATGAAGTAGGTCATTTGTTCCTGTTTAATGGATGCTTGCTGGCCACTGTTCATCTCTATCTAATGGGAAAATGTGGTTCTCTTTCTTTCTTTCTTTCTTTCTTTCTTTCTTTTGTAGGTATTCTTGGATGTGGTTGAAAGCGTAAATATTCTTGTCAACAGCAATGGACAGATTATCCGTTCAGATGTTGTTGGGGCATTGAAAATGAGAACATACTTGAGGTGCACCATTCTTTCATAGATTTCTCTTTTTATTTTAATTAGAGTATGTTGTGTGGATTTTTCATCTGTTTTAATGTGATTTATTAAATATGCTGTCCATTTATGTCATTTTAAGCTCACTACTTTATAACTTGTTTTATCTTTTTGACTCTTGAAGGATGAGATACTTTATATGCATGTTAATGTAAAACCACATATAGGTTATGAAGAATTAGATTCCACATAATTCTTGATATGTTCAGTAGAGCAAGTTCAGATACTGACCTACTCCATTAACTTGCTTATGCATTGTTGTCTTTCCTTTAACATGCACAGCACAAAATTAGTATATAAAAATAATGGGAGGCTGCATGATTTTTTTAGAACACATTGTTATTTTGTTAAGAGGGAAATGCCATATACTAGCCATTGGAATGCCAAGCTAGACACTTCCAAGATAATTTAACTTTTGTGGTGTGTTATGGTGGATATGGTCCTGCATATTTCCTTGGTTGTGTTGATGGAAAAGAAAGTCCAATCAGGAAAGGAAATTTTGATCTTATGCATCTCCTTGTAAGATATTATTTTGTTTTAAAGTACTGCTTGAATTATGATGCAAAATCATCTCCCTTGCATCTTCAGTAATATGATTTATCAATGATCTTTTTGGCTTTAGTTTGTGATGTACATCTTACATGAGAAGCAGTTTATGCGCATTAACAAATATTTAATAGATAATAAATGTGAGTGCTTCTGATAATGGAAAAAAGCAACTTTTTTTAATTGATGCAGTAATATTGAAGAAGTGATAAATTTTCAGCGTTAGTTATACATCTTTTCCTTTGAAAATCCCATAGTGGATAAATTGCAAAAGTGAGACAACGCATTGAAAGTAAAATGATATTTACGGAAGTGGTTCAAGTACAACAAGAAAATTAAATCATTCCCCTGGTTCTTTAGTATCTTTGTTTAACTTTAACTACTTCAATTGCAACTCTGCACTTTTTGAGAATACTGGTACTCGACTACATACTTATTCTAGTTAAAGTTGGAAATTGGAAATCATGTAGAGTGGAGTTTTGAGTTGATTTATTTTATAAGATGTTCACTAAAGTCCTACTTGTAAGTATATTGGACTACCATAACTTACAATGTTTATCCGATATTGTATTAGATTCATTAGAAACTTTGAATGTAATTTTTCTTTCAGATATATATACAACTTCATCATCTCATTTTCCATCAAACTTTAGGATATCATGTTTATAACTAAGATAGAGATTAGTTTTTTTTTTTGATAAAAATGGATTCCTTTAGGTAGCTAAATTACAAAACCCTCATGAGGACACTTGAAAAAGTTGTTCTACATGGTCCTGACCCTCTTGGGCGTCTCTTGGGTCACAAAAATGATTGAGACCTAGGCGACCTAATCGAACAAGCCAAAAAAAGCCACAAAGTTTACCTTTCTTTCTATATGCATATTGTACATTGACCATCAAACTATATCTAAAGCCAAAATTTACCATCATTGACTTGACCTTAGATTCTCCAAGGAACAAATAATGATATTTAAAAGTTTGGTAGTATTACTCCACTTTCATGGTCATGTTGGTAACACCCCCATAAACATTCTGACAGGGGCTTCCCATCAACAAGCATATTTTATTTAATTTGAGACCTGATATCATGTTGCTAAAGATGCCCAATTCCTCTAAAGAGACCTATAAGATTTTGAAATAAGTGCCTGTGGTTCTTCATAATGTAGCCAATGTGGCTGGGCTCTGATCAAGACACATTACCAATTGTAATGAAATATTGGTAGTTCCCCCCAATATAGCTTCATTGAAAAAGTTACCTTTTGCAAATGGGAGTTGTTGCTAATGTTAAGGCCACTCAGAACATTTGTCTTTGTAGATTGGCCCTAAGCTACCCCCACGATGCACTGGTCCAAACCTAATGATCCTGGTTCCTGTGCAGGTTAAGGTGCGTATTTTTGACATCACTCCGTATTTTGGAAGGTTTTTGGCCTGATTTAAAAAATCAGGTCACTTGCCCTGTTAATCAAGTTAATCATCTCCATACTAATAATCATGGATGACTCCAAATATTGGCCCAAGCCCCATTTTGACCTGCCAAGGAAGAGCAAACTTAATAACATAGGTTACATTTTAATTGGCTGATTGGTCAAAGAACATTAATCTTGTGGGAATTTTCATTTGATAAATTGAATCATGATAAAGAAGTTCAAATGGTATTCCTAATATCCAAGATTTTGTCCACCTACTTGGCCAGAAGAGGAACCTTAGATAACCTCGTGTTAGGCAACGTAAGCATTTTATCTGATCCTGGATAGGTGGAAGTTTCTTTTTTCATTTCCTTTTCCATACGAAGTTTTTTCTTTTAACAATTGTGTTAATCTTTATAAAGAATCCCTCAAGCATGTAGCAGTTGGATTGTCAACAATTTGGAATGTTAGAAAGTGCAGAGCTAACCAAAATCGATAAATTAAGAAAAAAGTTCTCTTTTCTGGCACCAAGTTCACTCGTAGCGTTTTGAATAGAGTCTTAAATTGGCCTTTACCCTCCTTGTTAATGGAAAATGATCCCAACTTACACCATAGGTCACAATGCTTATGAACAACCTGAGATAGCTGTAGTATACTTCTAACTAAGGTTTAAAATCTTGATCGTATGAGCCGGTATGAACCGGTATTTATCTGATCAAGTCCTGGTATAAAAAATTGTAGCTTGATATCGGTAAATACAATTCATTGTACTTTCTTTATTTACTATTATTTGGTGGTATATGTTGACATATGAACTACTATACTGATACCATGCTGGTTCAGTTGGTTATCCACCCACTTTTGAGTCCTTTCTTTTAACCTTAAGCCTAGTTTAACTAGGAGTTAAACATAAAAGTTCTTGCAAACTTCTCTGTATTTCCTGAAGTGCTGTCTCCAAAAGTAATTTCCCTAATGATGAATAGAGTTAAGAATCCCAGTTACTTGGTTGTCATGATATGTATCTGCACATTGTCAAGATATGTCACATTCTGCCATGCTTCTGATGTTTTAGACAAATGATTACATATCAGATATCTGAGGTACAGGGATTTGACTCAGATTAACAATAAATATTGATATAACTATTCAGTGAAATAGATACTCTCTGGACAAGAAATTAAAGCACCAAACAAAACTCATGATTTCATTTTCTGGAAACAAACCAAAAAGAAAACATGAGAAGAAGGAACAACAGGAAAGAAGATTAGTTATATCTCAAAAATCAAATAACTACCTCTGTAATATACATAGATATTTACAAATTCAGTTTTCTTGATATGCGATATGGGTAGAGCACAAACATCTGTATTCATATCTGAGAAACTAAGGTAACAGAAATCAAATGCAAATTTTGGATATGTGATGTATATAAAATTGTATTACTCCAGCTACACTTCATTTTGGAAATGATTAGGACAGATTTTTTTGCCAGAATTGATGGAACAAAACATGTGCACTTAATGTGAACAATGACATTTATTTCTTTTCCTGAAACTCAAATGTGACAAATGCTTTTGTGCTCTTGATGTTCTCCCTTCATCTGAAGTACTCCATCTGAAAAAATATAAATTCACTTGATAACATGTTGATGTTCTTTAATCTTATGTACTCAACCTGAACCATGCTGATTCATCCAAAACACTAGCATATGTGGCATATGTAGAATATTGTGTAACTAGCATCATATATATTGAGAATCGAAGTTTGACAATGGAAAATCATGCACAATCTATGCAGTGGAATGCCTGAATGTAAACTTGGGCTGAATGACCGGGTACTTTTGGAAGCTCAAGGCCGAACAACTAAGGGGAAAGCTATAGATTTAGATGATATCAAGTTTCATCAGTAAGTGGTCCTTTTTCTTGTGCTGAGGGTCCTTTCACTTTTTAGTTGTATATGATCACATTTATTTATGAATATTGAGTATTTATACTGTCTGTTTAAGGTGTGTGCGTTTGGCACGGTTTGAGAATGACAGGACAATATCCTTCATACCACCGGATGGATCTTTTGACCTAATGACGTACAGACTCAGCACTCAGGTTAACCTGGATTTATGATTTTGTATGAAATAAAATCTTAAAAGTTCATATTTTTGTTTGATATATAGCTTTGAGGTCATATATAGCTTGCACACTTTTTATCCTGGTCCTTCAGGTAAAGCCTCCAATCTGGGTGGAGGCTCAAATTGAGAGGCACTCGAGAAGTCGCATAGAGATCATGGTGAAAGCAAGAAGTCAGTTTAAAGAAAGGAGGTGTGAGCATACTTTCATTTTGTTATAGATGATTGCACTTGTTATACCTGTTATAACTTGAGCCGTCCATTTATGAAGAGTTTCTGTCTTTGTTTCTTTGACACAGCACTGCAACAAATGTAGAAATTGAGATCCCGGTACCTTCAGATGCCACCAATCCTAACATTCGGACATCCATGGGTTCTGCTACATATGCACCTGAAAATGATGCACTGGTCTGGAAAATAAAATCTTTTCCTGGTGGCAAGGTTTGAGGCACAACTCCTTTTTTGTTGATAAATGGAGACGTCAATCTAATTCTAGTTCAATCTTTCTTCACGACATAAATACAGTCCTTTGCTACATTTAGGAATACATGTGTAGGGCAGAATTTAGTTTTCCCAGTATAACCGCAGAAGAAGCAACTCCAGAGAAGAAGGCTCCTATACGTGTGAAGTTTGAGATCCCATATTTCACTGTGTCTGGAATACAGGTATTTTGATTCTTCACAACTTATGTACTGCAGTATCTGAACCAGTAGTTAATGGATCTACCACATCGGTTGCTTAGGTTCGGTATCTCAAAATAATTGAGAAGAGCGGATACCAGGCCCTTCCATGGGTGCGATACATCACAATGGCTGGTGAATATGAACTGAGACTCATCTAGCTCACTCTAGTCTTCTGTTTGGCATTTGGAAACTGCATGTGCAATACTTCAGGATATTTGAGATGCTGTGCATTCTGGATTTACATGGAGCACACGTGGGCCTTATCGTTTACATCTTCGGTGTGCATGGTAGAGATCATCCAAACAACGTTGTTTTTAGTACCTCCTGCTTCTAGTATGTTGTGTGAGAATGACGTGCTTATCCAAAAAGTTCACTGTATTTTTCCAGAGATTGTGTATTGGGCTTGTTATACGCTATAGTTCTCCATATCTTTTTATGAAGTGCCGACAACAAAATATATTTTTGGAAATGGATATTTTCTTGGTTGAATAAGTAAATTCCATCCTCTTTTTGGAAAAAAAATCATCTCTCTCTTGAAATTACAAAGCTTGTGATTGTTTACAGGTCGAGTTTCCAATCTGTGCCCCAGCCATTGGTTACATTCCCCAATTGTATGATGCCTGATTTCTTTCTCCAATTGTATGATGCCTGCTGTCAATTGGATTAAGTTGATTTGTTGATGAGGCTGAGCTTCTGATCCAAAGTACTTTTATTTGCTGGGTAACTCTAATCAGTCTCAACAAGTTATACAGAGTTACGTCTCTTGAGGAACAATTAGATTGTGAAGTGGGTACTGTAGGGTTTGTGATCACCTGCTTTGGGTTTGAATTAAACCTTGATGATGTTCATTAATTTATCTTCAGATTTCAGTCTACATCTGATTCTGCGGTTCCTTTTGTCTCTTTAATCTTTCACAGTTAAAGAGTATTCTGATTCAGTTCAGGTATGTGTATGTAGAAAACCATGAACTCTTATGTTTACAGATTAAGACTCAGCATCTACTAAAATTTGTCCCAGTAAAAGTAGTAGGATGTTTAATGTTGTTTGGTGATTGTTCTATAAGCTCAAAGATTTTGAGTCCTCAAGATATGGAGGAAAATGTAAGATTAGTTCGTTGCCTAAAGGTTCCATTGGCAAAAACTAAAAGCACGTCTCTCTCTCTCTCTGCCTGAGAGCAAAAATGGAGTAGAGAAGTAGGCCATGATTGTCGAATAGCCCTCCCCTAACTTGTGATACTCTCCATTAAGATGATTTTATTTTGGCAGCATTTTTGTGGCCCTTTAATTTTATAAAATATCTTTAGTCATCATCAAATAATAAAATTACTCGTTGTGATCTTAGTGATTAAGATTTTCATCACATAAAAAGCCTCCTTTTTTTTATTGTATGAATAAAATTACTTATATTAACCCTTTCCGAATCCCCGAAAGACTCTTTTTTAAAAATTAATAGTATAATATTCACTTCTACAAGCTAATGGATCATTACCTTAGTGGTTCATATACCATAAATTGTACTTTGGGAATTTGGAGGTTCTTATGGTTGAGGAATGATGGATATAACTTTGATTTAGAGTAGTTCCCTCGTACATAAATGAGGTAGTTGGTTGATTAATGTACTTCATAGAATTGGTGATAGATGAAGCCGGGAATTGTGATCAATTGAAAGCTAATCTCCAATGTCAAGTAAAAACAATCTTAACCACTCATTTGAAAGGAATTATATAGACAAAAGATCATACTTTCCCTCACAAACAAAATGCACTTGTAGAACGAAATACTTCAGCATTATCTACCTTTACTTGCTCTCTTTGGTGTTATAAGAGAGAGAGAGTGTAATCACCTATAATTTCTTCCTTAACAAAAATTAATTACTATAAATAATATATTATTTTATTTTTAACTTTGTGTTATAGTCAATGAAATAATTAAATTTGATTTCCTTAATCACGTGAATAAGTTAGAAATTTTATTAATTAATTAAATTATTAATTGATTTATTTCCTAACGAGTGATTTGATTTTTAGGAAGTAAATATTTTACATTCCATTTTTGTGTGTGAACTATAAGAAATGAATATTATATTTCTCTCTTATAAAAGAAAAATAAAAATAAATTAAAAATAAAAATTAAATTATTAATTATCTTTTTGGGAGATCTCATCTTCTCTTATATAAAGGAGACTACTCCTCCCTCATTCCTTATCGAGCCTGACAATGGGAGGATTGAGGAGAGGACTTCCC